TCCAGCCTGTTCCACAGAATTCCACGGTGCAAATTCTCACAGACGACACATCTACAATGTACTGTAAAGCAGGGAAGTGCCCTATCATCACCCCTATGTTAGGAGGCTATCATGTTAATGAACATGGTTCCAACAATACAGGATAACCAATATAAGCAGTTGCTCTTCATCTTCTAGGAGTCAGCAACAACCTAGCAGGCTTCTTGAGCAGACAATCCATCACCAATCACAAGTGGTCTCTGAAGAGCTCCAGCATCAAACCAATATTTCACCTCTTGGGAAATCCCATTACAGGCTTCTTTGCCACAAAAGATCATATGAAACATCCAACCTTTTGTTTCAGGAGAGACATGAGTCTGGGATCATTACATGACACCTTCCTTATATTGTGGGATCAATGTCTAGTGCATTTCCTTTGATTCCCTAGATCCCAAGAGTGATGTGTAAAATCAGACAGAAGATAAGAAATGCCACACCTTGTTTCAAGGGCCTTGTGATACTATCTTGACAGAACAGACTGTCTCCCAATCCTTTTATTGTCTTCCCTGCTACTTCTGAGAATCAAGCCATCTCCTCTCAGAGAATTTCTAAATGGATTATGCAGTTTATATCAAGCTGCTATCATATGATTGATATGCCTCTCCCTCCAAAAGTTAACACTCACTCCAGTAGAGCACCAGACGCATTCTCTGCTTGCATCAGAACATCCCTGAATCCAAAATTTTCAAGGCAGCTATGTGGATTAATAGTCTTACTTTTGTTAAACACAATGCCCTTGACCTGGCTGCAAGATCAAATGCCCAATTCAATAGGAGAGTGTTACAATTGTTGTTCAGTTAGTGACAGTCAGGGCTCATCAGTCCTACTTTCCAGATGGGTCACTGCTTGTCAGTCACCTAGAGTGTGATCCCCACAGACACATACTCGAAGAAGAGAACAGTTACTTACCTTATAGCAACTGTGGTTCTTTAAGATGTTGCCGTCTGCATGGATTCCACAACCCGCCTTCCATCCCCACTTTTTCAGAGTCCTCCTTATTTGGGATTCTGTATTAGCAAGGGAATTGAGGGCCAGTTGTGACTGCCCTGACATATGCCTTGGGGCAGGGCATGAAGACACCATGGCACATTGGTGGCCTTGACAGACCCTGCTATTCAAAAGATTCATATCTCCCACATATGGGGTACATGCACACCTACAATGGGATCCACAGACAACATCATCTTGAAGAACCACAGTTACTGTAAGGTAAGTAACCATTCATTTCCAGGTGTGCTCCAACTCTCCCTCAGCCTTCATTCTACTGAGTTCTTTTCCAGCCTCTAACACTACAGGAGCCCTCTGTTTCTCCTCCCCTCCTGCTCCCAGTCTAGCTACCTCTTATAAATGTAGTAATGTAAAAAACAACAACATCATATAGGCCAATTATTTACAACTTACATTATGTTTGACTCCATGAATGTCTTTATGCAAGAAGAAGCCTGCCCTGGGTGTTTCCTTCCTTTATAGTTGCAAGTGCAACTTATAGAGTCTAATCAATCAATTAATAAATACTTAACAAAGAGGTTCCCAACCACTTTTAGCTGTCCCAGGACTGGCTGTGCAGGGTTTCCGTGACTGGTACTCTAGGTTCTCTCTCTCTACAATACCAGTTGGTTCAGGGCACAGCCTCTGGAATGGGCCCCAAAATGCCACTGCTGCCCATCTGTCATTCAGTTATGTGCACATTACTCTGCGGCAAAGTTTGCCTTGCCTCAAATCCCAGTCTTGAAATGTCAAGACTGGTTTGGGGTAGCCAAAGCAGGTTAGAGCATGTGCAGATGAACAGGAGGCAGCAGATAACAGACGGTAAAGCCAAGGTCTTATTGATAAATTGGTACACTTGCCCAAAACTCCTCTTTAAAAATCTGCTTTTGTACATAGTTCCTACGCTTCTTATAAATGAGCCTCTGTTTATTTTAAGGAAACCTTATTGTCCATTTATATGGAATTTATACACTGATATTTAAACATCATTTCCAAGTACCTACCGGCACTGCTTAAACCCCTGTGAGCCTGTGTGACTTCAGTGTTCCTCCACTCTTCTAGGACAAGCAGTTAGGGTACTAGATGCCCTGAGCCTTTCCTAATCCCACTCCAAAACCAGTGGTGCTTCACAATGCATAGGGCTGGCAGGGAAACTACAGATAGCTATCTCTGTGACATAGTTAGCCATGTTCACTCTTATGCACCAGCAGCATGTCCTCAGATGTCTCTACTCCAGTCCACAGAGCCTTGCCCCTGTGGAATTAGGAAAATGTTTTGGCAGTGTCCGTGGTTTCAGCTTGTGAGATTCTTGCTCCAGAAACTGCTGTTGGACTGAAATCTATACAGCAAGATGGCGGCAGCAGCCAAAGGCAGTCTCATCTGAACGACAAGCTTGCAGCAGTGAAGGTTGGAGTGAGAGTGCTCCATGCTGCTTGGTTTAGAGGCTGTCCCTCGTGGTGACAGTAGAAAGAGTTTTGCTGTTTTACTGACACATTCCACCAGCCAGGAATAAAAAGTCACACCCCCAGCACTTGTTGACAGAGTTCATTTAAAAGGGTCACATTCCACACATAGTTAGGGATGCTCATGATGAAACAGCTACGCATGGATCTGTAAGGGACTGACACAACAGGCAAGGTTCTTGCATACCAATCCATCAGCAATGTGGAAACAATGGTGGGACATGGAAGTTCTCACAACATTTTCAAAGTATCATGGAATATTTTCAGCAAGCAACATGGAAGACCAAACTTTTAGAATGTTCAGTTCACCATCCCCTCATCTCATACCCAGACCCATCCACCCACCCCCACACACAGTACTGTGTGTCCACAATTTCAAGAGAGCAAGACTTTATTAACTGGAGACTACTAGATGGGACATCTATTGATGTTAACAAATATTTCCATTGGATTATAAGTCCTTTTTGTGGGAAGTATCAACATTTAAATTATATTTGATGCTTTCTTAAAATTCAGGCCAGCTGCTCAAGGAGTGGGAGAGGGATTACCCAAGATACACTTTGTTTCTTCAGCCATACCAAGTAGACAGTCTCTGATTCATAGTTACCTAACAGGTTACTGATTGCTCAGTATTAGGGGCCACATGTTAACTATTTTGGTGCATTCATAGCTTCTTAAATATCTTTTCATATAGAATTGTTTTCACTGTTACATTATTATTATCCTCACATTCTGGTCAAATACTGATGATATCAGAACTATGAGTAAGGAACAGTAACTTTACAGCACTTACAAGGCTTCTTGAGACAGCCAGTCACAGGAAAACTATTTCTGATGTCATCAGCCTGGTCATATTGGTAATCCTGAAAGATTCCCAGAGCCACCTGAGAAGCGTTGAATGCCCTGGATTCCTGTTGACTTCAATGGAACCTGCGGGGCTCAGCACCTCCTAGCAGGAGCTCAGCACCTGGTAGGATTGGGCCCTCTCCTGTGAGCAAAAACTCAAATTCAAAATAATGTTTTGTAAGACAGACCAAAAGAAAAAAATATCCATTGTCAGAATGGAAGAATTTGCGGAGCAGCATTAAAACAAAATCTTTATCTGGCCTGTACGAAAAATGTCTGTATGGGCAAATTTCCATCTTCAATATTCCAGCCAAATTTTCGTTGTTTAATACTTGAAAAGAAAACACAAGAGCAAACATCGGAAAGAGGAGGGTAAAAGCAAAGAGACTCTCGAGTGCCAAAGCAATGAGTTAACCTAAAAGAGCACCAGGGAGTAGAGGTAGCTTTCGTTTTTTATTGTCCTCATTCGCACACGTCACTGGATGTTCAGGGCATCTAAAAATACAGCCTCAATTTACATAAAAACAAAATACAAAGCTAATTTGGTTAGTTCAATGTCCTCAGTGTGTTCCCATTGGCAGAAAGCACAGGAGCATCTTGCTGGGGTCCAAAGTAGCCTGTTGGCTGAGTTCAGCTGCAAGGGAAGAAGCAGTGCACCAGTTTCACCCTCACTGGTGTAGCCACAGAGAATAGCTTCAGAGACGTTTCCATCAATCGGCGTGTGACGTCGGCTAGTCCCTACAGATTAAGCTGATGTTTATCTGAGGGAGCCTACATAAAATTTTCATTCATTTTTGGATTCTCTTGTACTCTCTGGTACAGCCTGGAGCACTAGCTACTGTCATTGGTTTTCAGAACTAATCTCCACACTGGAAATGGCCTCAAAGGCTAATAAAGAAAGCGGGTCATGCACAGTATTTGGAGTGGTTAGGTTTCTCTAGGAGTAGCTGGAACTCAGCTGCTACCAGACTCCATTGGCTCATCCATCACTTCCCTGGAGTTCCTTTGCCTGTGGGGGTGGGTGAGGCTAGATCATGGAGAGGGCTAACTGACAGCTTTACCATCCCACTTTCTACAGCTGGAAATGGCTGTTGTAGGGTTGCCAAGCGAGTGATTACATTATCTCAGCCTATTGTTTTAATAACCACAATGTAATCACTGAGAACTGTATGCTAGGACATGGGGACATATAAATAGAAAATGCCATAGATTTGGGCTATTGTGGGTTAAATGGGTTTGCAGATCAGACTGAAATATTAGAAGATGGCTGCTTCCTATGCAGAAGTGGCCTTGAGTTGAGATGGGGAGTTCAGTTAGCTGCTGTACTGGGAGATGTCCCTTCTGAGTTCTAGCTAGAGTTGGGATATCAGAAATGTATTAGCAGCATTCTGTCCTCTACTCCATAGGGGGTTCAAGATGTCTAGAAACCCAGAAAACACTGGGCCAAATTCAGATCTATCAGCGGGTGCAGCTCTCATTGGGAGTTGCATCCACGTTTGCCAGGGCTGAATTTGGTCCACTGCAGCCTTAGGGAATCAGCCCAGTCTACTTTTGCATTCTTTTCCCCCCATTTTGCCCTCTTCTGCCATTTTGTTGCTCCTGTGTTAGCCTGAGCCTCTTATTGGAGACTTATTACAGCTTATTTCTGTCTCCCTTTCTTTAAAGCCAGCTGAACATACCCAATGCTCTTCCTCTATGGTAAGACCAAAAATACAGACCACCCTCACAGCTTCTGTGACAGTCGTCCTCTCACACTCCTTTACTCTCTTCCCCTGATCATGGGTTTTTTCTCCAAGCCCAGCCTAGTTATCTCTGCATGCAGCTGCTGTGTTGTGTATTTGTGAGAGTCTGGTGTTCACATGAGCTGCAAATATGCTACATATGTGTATTTTTCATGCATCCTGAGTTTTCCTTTGGTCAAGTTAATTGTTGTCCTACCTTTTCTAATCAATTGCCAAGAGAGAACAAGAACTGTTAAGATTTCTTGTTAGCAGCTAACTTTCTATATCATTTTGACATTGGATTGACTTGCAATGTGATTTCAAATCCAAATTTGCTATAAAGGTCTGGGGCTCTGAATCTGATGAGCTGAGATGATGTAGTACAGAAGTTTAAATTCACCTTTTGTGTAAGAAGAGGATAAGCAATAATGATCAAAAACTACACAGCCTTTGAGAGCTACATTTTAAAACATCATACCATCAGGGGTGTATTAAACCCAGTCTCTGTGTGCAGCCATGTAGAACTTCCTTGCTCTGTCAGAGATACGCACATCAGAGAGCTGCTAGAAAATGAGAGTATAGCAAGCAAGGAGGAATCTGTTCAGACTGGCCAAGCAGTTGTCACCTGGTCTTACACTGTCCAGCTCCCCAAGTAAACATAACAAACGTGGAAGATGTAAGCAAAAACTCCCTAATTTATGCACCGCCATAGTAGGTGCAATTAGGCCCTACCCACACGGGAGTAAAATTTTAAATAATTGGCCTTAACTCTCCTTTGAATTTAGTTTATTAGAGGAAATTGGGTCAGAGGGATTACATGGGATGAGAGTGGTTCACAAGCTTTGTAGTTGCCTTCTTGAATAGTAATCATGGATGTAGACAAGTGTCATGTCTATTTAATTGCTCACAGCCAAATTCTCCTCTTATTTACACCCCATTGACTTTAGTGAAGTTGTGTTGATGTAAATGGGAGGAGAATTTGGCTTACAGACTATTGGTGGTGTCAAAGTGGGAGGAGGGGTGGGCAGATGTTAGGGTTTGGAGGGAAACTCGTTGAGGTTTGTTCCTGGAGGTTGTCTGTCCCCTCAGTTTCTCCTTCACTGATCAGTATGCCCAGCCAGCAAGAGGCCACACAACCTCACGCTGAATTCTGTGCCTTGCCAACAAATGGGGAATGCCCCGCATTGGCCGCAAGTTTAATGGTCCCCAGAATCCCACACTGTAGGCTGGAGGAAGACACTAGCTCTCAAAGGTGTCACTGATGATTAACATGCTTTGTATAGCAGGCAAAGCTGCACCTCCAGCGCAGCTCTGATCTACTAGACACGACACAATGTTTCTCTAGAGTCTAGCTTGAAGTGTAAGTAGCCACACACCATTGCAACTCACATGCTGGAGCAGAGGGTCAGCTGTGAAGTGGTTGAAACCCTTTTGGAAGCAAAGACTACAAACAACCGGCTGGATAAAGGAACAGACACACGCACAGGGCCTCTGGTCACTGCACCTTGAAACTAGATTTTTTTCTAGTCATCTCAGAAATATAAATCCAAGATGTTTCTACAGCTTGGCTTTCATGAGGAATAGAAATGCAAGCAGATGCTGCTTATTTTGAGCTATAAGAGGAAATCCAAAAGCTCTGTTCTCTCCTGGTTTGTATAGTGGTGACTAGTTAAGAAGGGGTGATCTGCACTGTTTCTGAGTCCTGAAGGTTATTCTCTCAGTAGTTTGGTGCTTGGCATCCAGCTCTTGGCTTTGCAGCAGGGAAGGGAGGTGGTGTCTGTGTACTTCTCTGGCAGAGTGAGTAGGAGGAGGACAGGATTATCTCCCTATATAGCACAGGGTTATGTTCCCACAGCATTTCCGATGGAAACTACTGCCTATATATATTTAGCACAATATTTTCAGGAGGGTTGGGGGCAAAATGAACTGGGAACCCTGTAACTTTGTTCTGCACAATTCCCCCAAGCAGAGTGATTCGCTCACCTTGAGCTAGGCAGCAGGGTTCATTACACAAGCTAAGGCAAAGCAACTGACTCCTTTTTGTTTGGGAAGCTGTTGCTCGAGCGTATGTGAAGCATGAAGAATGTCAAAGCTGGTTGCAGGCCATGGGGGAAATGCCTAGGGACGAGGCTGAGCAGTGAGAAAAGCAGAGGCCAGCAGAGAGACTATTTAAAAATATTCCCGGCCTGAGCGCTAGCTGTCAAGCCAAAATTTAAAAAAAATACTGGGCAGTGCATAGGCTGTGGGAAATACAGAGGGGTCATGAGAAAGATGAAGGGCCCAGAGCTCAGGACTGTGAGTGCACATGCAGAGCACAAAAAACACAGCCGTGCCACTGCGGAGATGGGAAGGCTGATTCTGAGACTCAAGCAATGTTAAGAGCTTGGCTCAGTGGCAGCACATGCTATGCTCATGTGGGACCTCCAAGCTTCAAAGCAGACTTGGGACCTGCCAGAGTTCCCCAGGCAGAGCAGGCTAAGTGTGTCATGGATACTTAGTGCCAGATTAACCAGGGCAGCTGGATGATGCACATTATGTAGTAGCTTCAGAGACAACTCCAAAAGAAAACTGTCTTTTTCCCCCACTGTCTAATTGTGACTTCTTGACCACTGTAATTACAGAGGGGAACTGAGGACTCCTTGAGGAAGATACTGCCAGGAAAACTATTCCATTACCTTTAAGACCCTGATCATGAGTTCAGGCACCCTCAGTAAGGAACCAAAAGGAAGGGGTTGATGAGAGGTTGCAAAGCTCCACTAGGGACTACTGAAATCCAGAGAACCTTTAGGATGGCACCACAGCCTTGGGATAGAAGGCAGGTTAGACCTGCATCAATCCATTGAGCTGCTGGGCCTAGTGCAATGCCAGAGAGCTTTAACAACGAAAGGGAACAGTGCAGTGAGCTCTTCCTACGTAGTGTTGTCTGTGACCCAGGATCTTTGTTCCTCATCTGCTGTTATAACTACTGCCTCTGTGCCAATGGGTTCCAGAATGCAGAGGAAAACTCGCGCATCTCAATCACCTTTTTCCGACTCTTCCGTGTGATGCGTCTCGTGAAGCTCCTGAGCCGTGGGGAGGGCATCCGGACGTTGCTTTGGACCTTCATCAAGTCCTTCCAGGTATTCCTTCACTTATCACTAAGCAGACATGCCTGGAAAGAGGTATGTATGCTATTTTTTGCCTTTCAAAGAGAGATTTTTCATGCTGGCAGGATGGGCCTTAAGCACAAAAGGCAAAATTTTCTTCTGTGCAGGCCAGCACATCGTTTAAGTGGGACTTCAGTGGTGCAAAGGCCTCATGTTGGCCTTCTGCACAGTGGTGAGTTCTACCTAGACAGACCTAGGTAATTCCTTGGGTCCTATACACACTTGGCATCTCATGGGACACGCTGGTCTCTGCTTCAAACCAAAGTGAAAGGCAATTCAGACATGAAACCACGGCCCTGATTACTTTATAATCATTAAGATCCCTAGCACTTTGTAAAAGAGAAGGGATATTGACTCCCATATATTGGCCAAATTCTAAATCAGGTAATTACATTCTGCCCACAGCTCCCTTAAAATTCTGTCTGCAGTTTCAGAGGTATTCTGTATCCATGTTTTAGGTGACATTTACTCATGTGCAGAGGGCCAGCGTAAGGCTCTGTGCACCACTGAAATCTCATTAAGCTCATAGCCCTTGTGCTGCCTCTTCCCACAGGGGTAATTTGCCCTTTCTGCCCAAAAGTGTGGTGTAATCAGAGGTGAAAGTAAACTGGTACGGACCGGTACGGCGTACCAGTAAGAAAATGGCCGCTAGTACGGGCCGGTACACAGCCGACGTTAAAGTGCTGCTGTGACAGCGCTTTAAGCACCGTACCGGCAGAGCCGCTGATGGGGGGGGGCGCAAAAGAGGCAGCGGCCCTGGGGCCCAGCAATTTAAGAGGGCCCGGGGCTCCCAGCAGGAGCCCCAGCCCCTTTAAATTGCCGCTGGAGCCCCGGGCAGTGCAGGCCAGGCAGTGCTGAAGGGCTGGCTGGGGGAGTCTGGCCCCAGCCCTGCCCCTTCTGCCCGAGGCCCCGCCCTTTCCTGGGGGCCCAGAGCCGCCCTTCGACCTTGCCCAGGAGCCTGGCTGCTCTGCGTACCAGTAAGTCCTTTAAGTTACTTTCACCTCTGGGTGTAATGTAGCTGTAACCTGTTAAACAGCTGCTGCCTTTTCACCCCAGAGCTAGCTGCATTTCAATGGGAGGTAAAGTGATCTAGGGTTTGTAAAGCACTTTGAGATAATTCAGAGTGAGAGGTGAGATATAAAGGTAAGGTGGTATGGTTATGAACCTATTGCACCACAGCAAGAAGTGAAGCGGACACCTCAAACTGAGCCAGATCTGCAATGTAAGGTATGAGAGTAAACAGTGGGTGAGGAGATGGGGACCATGAAACATAAGAATGATCATCTCTGACAGAAACAAATAAGGAGACATCCACTCATTCGAAATAATGGTTTCAAACAGTTGCTGAGGTTAGCCAAGTTCCAATTACTAATGAAACCCAGCATATTTCTGCATTTCACAGGTGTTTGACATGGACTTATTAGGCCAACACAACCTGATACTAACAGGTTCAGCTTATGAGGAAGTGTCTGGGCCAAGTATAGGAGTGCTGTAAATGGTGGTCTAAATTAAATATCAGTGTAAGGTGGTCAGACAATGTAGTCTAAGTAGATAAAAAAATAGTATGTACCAATGTGTGATTTGGCAAGTGTGCAAATGAGTGTAACACACAAGCCAAGCAATTCACAAGAAGCTGAAAGAGAAAGCAGATTTTCCTATACCCGCACACCCATAGGCGCCGACTCCGTGGGTGCTCCGGGGCTGGAGCACCCATGGGGAAAAATTGTTGGGTGCTCAGCACCCACTGGCAGCTCCCCGCCCAGCTCACCTCCACCTCCACGTCTTCCCCTGAGCATGCCGCATGCCCGCTTTTTCCCCCTCCCTCCTAGCGCTTGCGCCGTGAAACAGCTGTTTCACGTGGCTGGGAGGGAGGGAGAGGAGGGGGAATGCTGCGCGCTCGGGGAAGAGGCAGGGCCAGGACAGGGATTGGGGAAGGGGTCCAATAGGGGCAGGGAGGGGGCGGAGTTGGGGCGGGGACTTTGGGGAAGGGGTTGGAATGGGGGCGGGGCAGGGACGGGGAAAGGGTGGAGTCGGGGCAGGGGCCGGGGGGTGCAAACACCCACCAGTGCCGGGGAAAGGTGGCGCCTATGCCTACACAGGCTCCATTTCTGCTCCCAATGAAGGCAATGACAAAATTTCCACTGACTTAAATGGGAATGGGAGCTGGTCCACACTTTTAAACTTACTCTGCACCACCTTCACTCTTTTCTGGGGCTGAATTCAGCCCTGCTGTAAGTGGCCACAATGCCCATTGACGTCAGTGGAGTAACGTCTGCCTATATCAGGGACTGAGTTTGGTCCCTTCACAATACAACTCCTGGGTACTGTAAAATAACACCAAGTTAGTGTAAACAACTCATTTTGTCCACTCACTGAATGCCAAATTGGTACAAGTCACACTACCACTTAGAAGACTTTCACCCATTTTTCTGACCAACTCGTACCCATAACCTACCCCACCACTTCCATCACCGCTAACTTTGGTTCGCTGTGTGAGCAGCTCCAATGGGAGCTGTGTTGGCAAGGTGGGTCGGAAGGAGATTCACTGACACAGCCCAGTCATCACTAACCGAGGAAACAGAATGAAGTTTTCAAATTCTGGCTGCCCTACTGGCTTAGGAACAGCTCCTTTCAGTTCTGAGATCAGCTCTCTCCTCCCCAGGCCAGAAGGGATGAGAATGAGGGAGATGGGTTTGCAGCTTGGGTAACCAGACCCACACTAGCTTTAATCTAGTCAGCACAGCTAAAAATAGCCATGACGATGCAGCAGCACAGGCTTCAACATGGGCTAGCAACATGCATCTGTATCTGGGGTCCCAGGCACTCTGGAACAGCCCACGCAGAACCCCAGGCCTCCACTTCTTCACCTATTTTTAGCTGCGATAGCTAGATTAAAACTAACAAAGGAGAGTTTACCCAAGCTGCAGTCACACCTCCAGCTACAGTGTAAACATACCCTGGTGGAAAAGGGAGTGGCTTCTCTGAGGCCTTCTTGGCTGCAGAGTCACTCTGAGGTAGGGCTGAAGGGTGATGGGAGGAAGTCAATGGAGAGGGCAGAGTGCGAGGACTAAAAATAGCCATTGCTAAGAGCTCTCTGTTCAGCCAGTTCCACTGTCAAATCTGAATTTCGGTGATTTTTTTCTCTGGGATTGTGCATTTTTCTGTGTCTCAGAATATGCCCAAGAAATGTCCTGACTCATCCAGGACAGCCTGATATTCATCAGCTGTCCCATGTTCTGGGAGTTCAGATCCCCTCCACCCTCCCGCCATTGCTCTGATTAGTGCTGTACCGGTGGAGCTGGATGTTGATCAGAGAAGTGGTCTTGTGTTGTGGGAAACCAGTCAGCAAAGCTTCCACATTGTGAGGCATCAACACAGACCAGAATAGATAATTTGGGTAGAAGAAAAAAGTAGGGGTGTTGAGAGCAAGGTAAGGGAGTGAGAACCAAGAGGAAAGAGCAGTGAAACCAAGGAGAGGCAGAGCTGAAGGGGGAGTAAACCCAGGAGAGTGGGACCAGAGGGAAGTGAGGGAATCCTGGAGGATAAGAGAGGGAGAAAAAAACAGAACAAGAGAGGGGAATGAAGTAAGTAGGAAAACAAAAGGAGAGAAGTAGAACAGATTGAGAGAGTAGGGTAGAGAAGGAAGCCTTCTACTACCTCTTCTAAAGATATAAGAGCTTCTAGGAGCTTGGCCTGTTGGGTCGCTAACTGGACGCTGCCCCTGGACCACTTTTGGGGTCTCAGCTACCCCCAAGTCCATAACCTTGATTTGACCCATAAGGGCTCTCTCCAAATTTACAGACCCAAATTCCAGTTTGGTGTACCTCCAATGCGGCCTGGAATTACCACAGGGATTAATTTGCCCATTAGGTTAGTAGAACACCAAAGATTTCCCTGCCTTCTGTTCCATTTTGATGATTTAGATGGATTGTTTAATGCAAAATGCAAAAGATCTAAGGTTTAAATCTTGTTTTAAGATTCTAGTTCACTTGTGGCCAAATCCAACAGTCCCTTACTCTGTCAAAACACTTGTGGAAATCAGATCTGTCTAAATAAGGACTGCAGGATTGGGCCCTAATGAAACGTAGGAGTAAACTTAAAATTAACAAATGAAATTCAAATAACAATACAAAATTCTGGACCAGACACTCCCAAAAGAGAAGATGTTCAGTACCCAAACCAGGGTCAGTATCCAAATTTTGCAGATGGCTCTAAGATCTGTAAAATGGACCAAACCAAAATCTCAGATTGCAATACCCCCAAACTTTGAGGTGTTCAGACTCGGGATGGAGATCTGAATTCCATGGCTTGAGCCCATCTCTGCTACAAATCTTTAAAAAACAAGAAGGTGGAAAGTCAGTTTCTCCTTTAGGGCCGGACTGTTATGCTTATAAGCACACAGATTTTTTTTCAGGGGAAAAGGCAATATGCTGTGTTTATTGAAGATATAACAATTAGCATATGCATTCAATCACAGTACACACTGTGACAAAGTTCCTCCTCTATCTTGGTGGATCCTGCGCTTATTGGCAGATTTTCTTGCCTCAGAGATTCACCTTCCCCTCTGGAAGAACCCACAGTCCAGGTCAATTGGGAGGTTTGGGGGGAACCCAGGCCCGCCCTCTACTCCGGATTCCAGCCCAGGGCCC